GATTTAGTTATACTATGTGGAACCTGTGATTTAGTTATACTATGTGGAACCTGTGATTTAGTTATATTATGTAGAACCTGTGATTTAGTTATATTATGTAGAACCTGTAACGGTCAATCCCACTATTCGTTGGTAAAAGAGTAGACCATGAGTTGGCGGTGGGTGGTGGTGACTAGCTACCTTTCCTCTAGTCTTTCAATGTTAAATTAGGGACGGCTAGCGCAGATAGCCCTCGTGTAGCTTTGCGTGAAATTCAAAACAAACAAACAATATATATACGTTTTAAGTAATATAAATACTCACATGTTTCAATATCTGCTCCGGCCAACTTGCCCATGCCACCAAAATGGATTCTGATGAATTTACCCTAAATCACCAAAGATGTATTATTATTTATACATATCCAAGAACGTGTATAAAAGAATCAGACTAGCCATAAATAAGAATAAATCGTCTTAATGTTTTAATATCGACAGAGTAGAATTCGAAAAATAACATGAGTTATTCTACTTATTATACAACTGTATTTTCACCACCATCCCCCATCATTTAAAAAAATCAAAGTGGTAAAAATCAAAGTACGTGCTAAATAAGGCGAAGTCTTGGCAACTAAAGAAATGCCACGTTAGGGCGAGAAAACCACGGATTCTTATCTCTTTTGATTCTTATTGCTAGCGTCATCCTGAAAACCGAGTAGTTTCTGGTTGAATAATCAGTGTCTACTTTCTGTTTAATTACATTTAATATAGATGGAGTTAACAAAGATAAATCAAACCTTTAAAACCAACAAAGTAACGCTTAAAAGTAAATACCACTTGTGATAGGGTTGCCAACTTATAACTGCGGAAATTTTATGGAAATTGAGACAACTGAGAGCAAGGAGAGATCCCCCCCCCCCACGAACCTCATTATAGTAAATTTTAAAAAAATCAAATACTTGAATTATAATATTCTTATCGCCCGACGTAACAACGCTATATCGCTTAACCGACACTGAACATTATTAATTCCACAGTTGAAATAAGAATGAAGTGTACGCACGTGCCGTTACGTCAATAGTAAGTGGTCTTTAAAATGTTGTTACTTTTAAGCATAGGAATGACTTCTTATATTTACACACATATATTGTTGTCCAGAACGAGTTTCTAACGCGTTTTGGACATGCACAGTAAACTCCGTACAGTCCGGAGAAAATTTGGACAATTGGTGACCATACTTTGGAACCATCTCAAAGAGACTGAGACAAAAGACAATTAAAAACAAAACTTGGACATGATACCAACTTTGAAGTTTTAATCCTACCAGCTTTGTCTGAAATCTTAAGTTTTATATAGAATTATAATTATTCACGAAAGAAAAATGTACCCTCTGACTCCTTTAACGACATTCAACGAACAAACATATTCCATGAAGAACGAACCACCTTATTCTATTCTTTTGGTATAGAGATTCAAACAGTATCGAACACTTACACATTGAAACTAAATTTCAAATAATGTTGTTCAAATTTCATAGCGTTCATATTTTACCCATGGTGAATTTTTTTTTTAAAGTTTGTTTTAATGAAAGGTAAAACGTACACATAACAAGATAACATTCTTGTCTCCAGAAACCTATAAATGGTGTAGTCGAATATTAAAGTAACTGGATAACAAAAACTTACAAATCGAGACGAGTTGTCGTTACGCACGGTTTTGGCGTTACCCATGGCCTCTAAAACGGGATTGGTTTGGACGACCTGGTCTTCTAAGTTACCCTAGAAATCAAGAAAACGTCAGAAGAAAGCTGGTGAAAGATTTGTCTGAAATTCTTGAGGGACAAAAAAAAGGTTATTTTTCACTTTAGCTGATTTGTTAAGTGGATGACATCACCTATACACTAATCTTCTACGTTGTAGAGACAACAAACTATGTACTAATTAGACCTTTAATAAATGCAGTTCCAGCTGTACACAGATTTGAATCTAAGCCAAAAGACATTATTTGTTTCATTATCTGCACTTCAATCATGCCGTAGCGTTTTAAGACACAACTGTTGAGATACATGCCCTTATATTTTACAGCGTTAGATTAACACATCTAACGAGTAAGTACTGATTGTTTGAAATTATTAAGCTATGAGAAGCTCGGTTAAAACGTAAAGTTTAGCTTACTTAGAATCAAAGTATGCGTATATAATAAGAATGAAGCTCTCTCTATAAATGGCTTGTAAGAATGCCTTTTTGTTTCACGTTCTTTTTCAATACCGACAAATCAACACTGAGCTATTTTAGTACGATTAAACGTCATACACATTCTAAGTACAGCATTTCAATTTACAGTTTGAATACGCCATTTATCTAAGAAAACAAACTTCTTATTTTTTCACCATCAAATTCACATGTTTTAGAAAAGAAGCATGCATATTAACCACAACGCCCGACGTTAGTGTTTTCTGAAAGTCCTTTGGATTGAGGACCTTTCAAAGTTATCCGATAAATATTGGAAAAACTGTGGTTTAGTGATCAGTTCAGGTAATCGTGCAAATACCAACTTATTGACTTAATACCCAGTCAAGGGGGGAAGTAAGTTAGTAATAATTCGTTAGAGATGTTTAAAAACATTTAAGCACATGCAAGAAAAATGGTAGAAGAGGATATTCTATAAGGAAGTAATTTAAACGACAAAATGCCCATAAAAATAAGGTAATAATAAGAAAAAAAAATCAGGAGGCTCTGTCTGAAGATTGAAATTGTTATATGTTACTTGGAAAATAAGAGACGCCACCGTGTGAATGTTTTATGGGATTTCGTTTTCACCACAAGGTTATGAAGGCATGGGAATACTCCAAGGTGGATGTGAAACACGAGCCGGACCTGAGCCTTACGACTGTATGGCTCAAGAGGGATTTCAAGCTGTTACCTTCTTGGATAATCTCTCCTTATCCTCCTTTTTGGTGCTGGCACCGACGTTTGCAAAATATGCAATTACTTTCTTCGTGTTCTCAGTCTTACCGGCACCGGACTCTCCACTGTTTTTGAAAGTCAAATATTGACGTTAAGATGGGGGATTTCATGGGGGGAAGCAAGAATATATGGGCTTGTGGAAGGTTTGGAGGAAGAAGGAACCAAACTTCAGGAGGACCAGAACTTCCAGATGTAATAATAAGCATTTATGCTGAGAAGCAAAAACTTTGTGACATCGGAATGTAAGACTCAAAGGATTTGGGTGGTGGTGGTGGGGGGGGGGGGGATATGATGACTAATTTCATTAACTGAGATAGCTCAAGATTTGGGATGGGATAGATTTGTATATTTCAATTTATACAAAATGATTCAATCGCCGAAACTAAAAAATGTCAAATTTTCAGATTAGGGTTGTTTTTATTTTTTAAATCTGCAACTACACTATATATAGTAAAAATTTAGGTTTGTTTTACCCTAAAAACACAATTACAATGTGATTACAATTTGTGGAGGGGTTGATTTTACTAATCTCGTCGAACATATAGAATAAAGTCGGAATAATTACTTTTGTACGGGTTATAAGTACGTTTACTTTTGTGTGGGTTATAAGTATGTTTACTTTTGTGCGGGTTATAAGTATGTTTACTTTTGTACGGGTTATAAGTATGTTTACTTTTGTACGTGTTATAAGTATGTTTACTTTTGTACGGGTTATAAGTATGTTTACTTTTGTACGGGTTATAAGTATGTTTGGAGAAATACATATCATAAGTAGATCCCAAAACTAATTTAATACTTTTAAATTTATGCAATGGAGTTTACTGAGAAGCAAAAACTTTTAATATGAGATTGAAAGGATTTGAAGGGGGGCTGGGGTAAATAATTTCATTGACTGAAATAATACAAGATCTGGGATGGGATAGATTACCACGCAGGTACAAAATCTTAGTTAAATAACTTTATTATCAAATATAGTTTTTCAAATTTTAAGTTTCTACTGTACATACAATATGATATAGTAGCGACAATATGTTTCACATATAGCTTACAAATGTTTTTTTATTATTATTATTAAAATATTTATCTCTTACGATGTTAAACCTACAGAGTTAAACGAATTTCATAAAGACGATTATAAAAAATAATCACACACACGTTAAAAATTTTGCATTTCTGTGGTATGGTATTCTAATTTCTTAACTTTTAAGTTTGTAAACTACAGTTTTAAGTTAAATCTAGTCTCTATTAATGTGTGTTCATATTTATAAATCTAAAAAAAACACGAAAATAAATTATTTTGGTTCATATATCAAATAAACATTAATCTTAGTTAACTTTCTTACTGTCAAATAACAGACTGGAAGAATTTTATGACTTTTATTATTATTTTTTAATCATTAATGTCAAAAATAATGGTAAAACAACAAACTTACGTAATCAACATGGACTGGTCTTCTCGGTCTGGAAAGAAAGACGAAAAAAACATTTTAAGCAACTTTATTAATATTATGACAAACGTTTTTACATTTGCGAATAAAGCCCATGAGTATAAAATATAAAAAAACGATGAGTTTAATTTACTTATTAATAAATATCCTGAAACGTAACAAGTATAAATTTTACTTTCAAACTTACTTTGCAACATAGCGTTATAAGCACCGTCAGAAACAGCAAACAGGTGAGGGGGCACCTCAGTCTTCCTCCTGCCCTTGTAAATCTGAACGACACGGTTGGTGTAAATCGGGAACCGCTTGTAAGGGTTGATTACCACACAGAACAAGCCAGAGTACGTCTGAAGACAATAAATACTTCAATTTGATAAGGTACAAAATCTTACAGTTGAATGATTTACTCATTATATATATATATTTTTTCAAAACTTTAAGTTCCTACCGTACGTATAATATGATACTATAGGCGACAACATGTTTTAGGCATAGCCTACTCACTTTTTTTTTCTATGTAATATTTATTTCTAATACTGCTAAACTTATAGAGTCAAACAATATTCATAAAGACAGTTATTAACAATCTTTCGTTAGAAAGTTACATAGCTATAAATTACAACATACCAGTAACTGTACATTAAAAAACTGACCTTGTGACAGTGGTTTTTTGCTGATGACATCCTTAACCCACTTACCTTGATTTGTGCGACAAACCGCAATATTTTTGTACGTTTTTTATGTTATTAATTATTCCTCGTTTAGTGAAACTTTCGTAACACTCCTAGCAACTTGTAACAAGAAAACTGAAACCTATATCAACTAGTGCTCACGACGATATTTTCAGTTAGAACAGGAGACTTGAGTTCATTTAAAATCCATACAGTATGCCAACAATGTAAAATAATCTTCACGAGTGTAAAATTTTAAAAATATCCAAAATGATTATAAGCATTAAAACCAACAATATTAATATTCTTTACCAGGTTTGTGGTCAAGAGTATTAATATGGTTGTAATGTTTATAATCAACAATATTACAACCAACAATATTAATATTATTTACTAGGTTTGTGGTCAAGAGTATTAATATGGTTGTAATGTTTATAATCAACAATATTACAACCAACAATATTAATATTATTTACTAGGTTTATGGTCAAGAGTATTAATATGGTTGTAATGTTTATAATCAACAATATTACAACCAACAATATTAATATTCTTTACTAGGTTTGTGGTCAAGAATATTAATATGGTTTTAATGCTTATAATCATTTTGAATATGTTTAAAATTTTACACTCGTGAAGATTATTTTACATTGTTGGCATACTGTATGGATTTGAAACTAACCTAAGTCTCCTGTTCTGACTGAAAATATCGTTAATGATGACGCAAGCACTTTAGTTGATATAGCTTTCAGTTTTCGTTTACTTTGTTTTGTGATATTAAGTGCTTTTATTTACTTTATTATATAACATACTTCACTGAGATGAAGCCCTGTCTGTATGAACATTTTTAAATGTATTCATCAAGATCTTGAAGAAAAAAGTTGACATTTTTTTCAATGATGTTGTTTAAAGTGCACACAAAAAAGAACAACCGAGTGACAATATACGGACTATCTTTCAATTAACAAATTCTAGCACAATACACACAGTTATGAGGTGAAATATATAGCACTTACGTAAATCAATTTAGCGTAATAACGCTGTTTCAGGTTATGCAAAACACTAGCGTCATTTAGGTAGGTCAAGTTGGACATGTCTTCAGCCTTTTCGAATTTTGGAGGATTAACTTGTTGAAGTAAATCCTTCTTCAACACACGCTGTAGAGAGATACAAAATGCATACGTAAGTTAAAGGAATAAACTTTACGAAAAATATGTCATTATATATGCCAGTAATTTAACTATTTACTTAGAAACTGCGCTAAAAATATCGCTTAAAGTGATTATAATAGTTCACGTTTACCAAGCCTGGTCTTAATCTACGATTTCAGCACGTCGGTGTTTAATTAAATATAGGCTCACTTTTGCCTAAATTTGAGAGTACTGCCGGTAGAGGGATACATATTAACATCAAACAGTAGTTTTGAATAAATATATTTTATAAAACCCATGTATTTTTATATTATCACATCATTCTAAGAACATTTACTTAAAAATCAGTTAGCTCAATAACTACTAAATATTATACTTTTTTTCAAACTCAGTTCAAAACATCGTTTATAAACAACGTGAAATAATCACGGCAATTTAGGCTTACCTCACCACCAGGACAGTCGACTGTCACTTGGTCACCTTTCGTGCTGACAATATTGCCAATGATGAACCCATCTTTCTCATCAGGAACCCAGACCATCTTTTTGCCATCGTACGGCTTAGTCTGATCTTTGCGTTTCTGCTCAAGAGAAATGAATAAGTATTCTGTTGGATCGGGATCTTCCGCTTGTGCTGCTGCCATTATTGAAGTAAAGGAAACGCAGAGACGTAGGCCTAGCTAAGTTTAGAGATCTTGAGTGGACGTATAAGTACAGAACAGCCCTGGAGCTTATCTAAAATAAGAAAAACTAGATTGGGTATTGCACACAGACCACCTTTGGTAACTAAAAAGAATTATATATATTTGCTTAAAGTGTTCTTTTTTACAACGGAATGCATCTGCTTCCCAAAAATACAAGCAGACTATTAAGTTGGAATACACTAACTTATTTGTAAATGTATCTACTATATCACAATAACCCCATTGGATACTATATGTAAATACCGATTCCGTAATATATAAACACACACACAACACACACACACACATATATATATATAGGTTAATTAATTCAGGTTACTGTATTGTGAAGTAAAAAGGACTCATATATTTGTTTGTTGAATTTTCGTTAATATTACTCGAAGGCTTTCTGTGCTAGCCGTTCCTAATTTTCAAGTGATAGACTAGAGGGAAGACATCTGGTCAACACCACTCACAGCCAACTCTTTATTAATGAATTGTGGGAGTGAACTTCATATTATAATGCCCACGACTGAAAGGGACGAGAAATTGGTGAAGGGATTCGAAATCGCGACCCTTAGATCCCTAGACGAGTGTCCTAACCATGAGGCCATGTCAAGCCAGTTCATTAAAATATATTAGACTTCTGAATATTTCAGCTAATAACGTGTGACATACAACAGAAACTTCAGATAAAGAGGATGGTCTTAATGAATTCAAGCTATAGACGTATGCTTTATTCCAGCGTCTCCCAAAGGCGATAACAATTAGGTGTAATTTTGTATGTCTCAAAATGTGGTCACATAGGAAAACCGTCTATGAACCGCTGCTTTAACCCAAACATTTAAAACATGAATCTGTTAAATTTACCATAAAACACAAGTTTTTAGTTACGACTCCGTGTTGACACTTCACGCGAATATTTTACTTTTACTATTGTTTCGATCCATTGTTTCCGATTCTGTTGTCTTATTTTCTACAAACTGCATGTTCCTATTTTGTAATTTAAAAAAAATCTAAAGCTTGAACCACGTTACTTCGTCGTTTCCGCTTGGTGGCACTATAGACCTTTTTTCCCCCTTAGTTTATTTTTAATAACGTATACCTTATCCATTTCACCTGTTCTTTCTGTTTCTTGTAGTTATTCTACTTTCAAACATCACGTTATATTCATAAATTAATTTACATAAGTAGTTTTTAAGATGGACAATAGTTCAGACTTAATTTTTTTGACTTTGTAAGAGTAGCGAGTGAAACATAAATACATTATTTAAAAAGCTTAATCTGCATAGAATGTGGACCTTGAGGATTTTTTTTCATTTATCTCATAACTTGGTTAATAAAGTATAAATAAAATATGACATGAGGATTATACGCGAATGTACCTAAATCTGTGATAAAACGAATGGAATGTCTTATGACATTCTAAATAACTCTGTTCTAGCAAGTCATGCTAGGAGTTAATACACAAAATATATGGAACAAAAAATAAAGTGTAACACATGTAGAGATTATATAATGTCTATTATTAATCGTTTAGGGTCCCGCGTTCATCAGGTATACTAAGTAAAGCTTCTAAGTTGAAACAAAAAGTGAAAAAGAGCAGAAGAAGCCAATAGGTTTGATCCAATCAGCACTACGATTAATTAGCAGTTTTATCTCCATGCTTCTGAATAAGAATGAATAATTCTAAAAACAAAAGTACTAAGGAAATCTAAAGTAACGTTATGAACTTTCATATCTATAACAGTGTAAAAAAACTGTCTTATTTAAAACAGTACAAAACGACATAAAACAAATACAAAATACATGACGTATGTAAATTTTAAATACAAACTATAGGGTGTCAAAGGAAGGATTTAGTTGTTAGAATACCTAATATTTTACATTGGTTTCATCCAACTGTATAGGTAGTGGATTTTTAGTGGTTTAAATAAAAATTCTGTTAAAGACAACTTAGGTAAAGCAATTCTTCAAGTTGTTTTGGTGTTGAAAGTGGATCATTTAGGTGTCTCAGGAGAGAGAGAGTGGATAAAACCAAGAAAGGTATTTAATAAAACAAAATTATACATAAAGGTTTCACTGATGTCAAAAGGGTTGGGTGGTTCAATGAAAGTCTTGTTTGTTGGGTAACATTACTAAGGCCATTTCATGAAACAATGCAGAAGACAGCACAGTGACTGATTTGGAAAGGATTCTGGCTGGGCTTTTGAGGAAGGGTTGATAAGTAAAACAATCATTTCACCAAATCCAGAGAAGTGGGCCAAGGGGCCAAAATCCAGAAGTCGTTGTTGCTAGACACAATAACGCAAAGATAAGTTCCCCGAGTAAGCAACAAGGCCTAGCGTATAGCTCTGTCACTAGTCTGGAGGTACAAAGACACCATCAGTACCGAAAATCATCAAAAATATGTAAACACAAAGGAAGGGTCACCACTTACGTTCGAAAGCCGTTCTGAAGCAGAAGGTCGAGAGTTTGCTCTTTTAAACCTCTGCAAGCTAATACCACAATGCTGCAGTTTGAAAGTGAAATATAACACTACTCCTGATTGGATTATCAGTTTTAGATCAAAAGCGTCGCAAGACTTTTCCAGCCAACCAAGTTAGTTGTTCAGAATTCTCTAAACGCGGACACAAAACCTCTGTCAAGAAGGGTGGGGCGCTAAATAATTCTAGATCCATTTTTGGGTCAGAGGTTCAGGTTCTGTTAGAAGGTTCCTTTCTCCCCAGACAATTCCTGGATGAACTCGCCCATCCACCAACCCTGCCGAGAACGGAAATGATCTAAAAATAAATATTTCAATACAACGCACAGACTGTTGTCAGAAGCAGAACGTTTCACCTGAGCGTTGTAACAGAACTTTGTATTTCATGGGGTAAATTGTTATATCATATGAAGCAGAAGCTCTTTTGAATATTAAATTATTTCTATCTGCATGTAATAATTACCTTCTACACGTTCTCCATTTGATTTGATTTTCTCTACTGACTAGTATAATTATTTGAACAGCGACACTACTTGGAGTAGCATACTGGAAAAGGTACGACAGTTAACTTATTTTTTTTTTAACTTGCAGGTCCTGTAACAGACATTAACCTAATTCTGATTCTGGTTTAAAATCAGTATCTGCGTGGTATTTGATTCAGAACATAACAATGTTATAACCTCCGTTAGCAACAGAAACAAATTTATTGTTGTTTTTAAATTAATGAAACATTTCCGAGATATTTAACTGAGAACCGTTTTCACAGGAAACTTTCATGTTACAGTATAAACCACGCGTATTATTATTTATTTTAAATATCAGTTGTGCTGGACCACGATGTGGTTATGTTTAGTCACAGAAATTTTGCCTGCAAGTTTACGTCCACAAATACTTTTAGTTTGAGTGTTTCTAATCGCACTAAAACCCATCAGATCACTTCAATCCATACCTTTCTCAACAGATTTGAACGTATTTTTCAAATGTTTACTTATTGGTGAAGTTTTATCTATGGTACTATACCACGATACATTATTTAATAATCTATATCTCACAGTGGAAGCACGACAATATTTGTAATGTAATACTAAGATGGTATAAGTCAGAGTATTAAATACTTCTATGACACACGTCTTCGACACAATCTTTTTTAAATGTTTATTTATTGGTGAAGTTTTATCTATGGTACTGTACCACGATACCTTATTTAATAATCTATATCTCACAGTGGAAGCACGACAATATTTGTAATGTAATACTAAGATGGTATAAGTCAGAATATTAAATACTTTTATGACACACGTCTTCGACACAATCTTGACAAAACTTCCGGTTAGGTATTTTCAGTAAAAAATATAATTTCCTGTTATATAGACCTCAGTAACAAAGGTACATCCGGTTAAATTGACTCGGTAACAAGGATATTTCCTGTTAAGTCCCTCAGTAACAAGGGTACATCAGGTTAAATTGACTCGGTAACAAGGATATTCCCTGTTAAGTCCCTCATTAACAAAATTGACTCGGTAACAAGGATATTCTCTGTTAAGTCCCTCAGTAACAAGGGTACATCCAGGTTAAATTGACTCGGTAACAAGGATATTCCCTATTAAGTCCCTCAGTAACAAGGGTACATCCAGTTAAATTGACTCGGTAACAAGGGTATTCCCTATTAAATCCCTCAGTAACAAGGGTACATCCGGTTAAATTGACTCGGTAACAAGGATATTCCCTGTTAAGTCCCTCAGTAACAAGGGTACATCAGGTTAAATTGACTCGGTAACAAGGATATTCCCTGTTAAGTCCCTCAGTAACAAGAGTACTTTCGGCTAAGTGAAGTTTTGTAACATAGATACAGCCCGTGTAGATGATAATGGGTATTTTTGTAACACAGATACAGCCCGTGTAGATGATAATGGGTATTTTTGTAACATAGATACAGCCCGTGTAGACGATAATGGGTATTTTTGTAAATACGTAACATGAAAGCATTTAAGAAATTCGGACACGTGTTTGTTCGTAGCTGTTTTATGTTGTTTTTGTATAACAGTTATGAATTAAACATGAAGTTATCATGATCTACACCACCACCAATACGTTTATGGTACCTCACCCAGCGTGGTGAGCCCTGGTATTGGTCGCATGGTCTTCTCGGCATCCTATATTGTATGTTTCGTGTACTTAACATGTTATTGCATATTCTTTTATGCTTTCACTCATATGTTCATAGAATAAAGTGTACTATATGTCCACGTTCTACCGTGAGTATTTTGGGAACTGTTTCATTTAAAGTCTATATCAACGTCACATTTTCTGGGGACCTTACCCCCCGATTCCCACATAATTACCATATTCAGATCTCGCATGCCCCCCCCCCCGAATATTTGCCCTCTGCCTGAAAGCTTAGAAGTCTGAGGTGTCGAATGGATATCAAGCAGAGATGCTTGTCTCATAATAAACCAGTTTATGAAATATCTCACATTTTTGAATGTTTGTTAAAAACATAAAGTTTTGGATAAACCTCTCACATGAAACGTTTCTATACAGCACAGTGAAATAAACATCAGTATAGTTTGAGTGTTTTTAAGTACAGTACCCATATTGATGTTCTCCGAACACAGAAACAGAGGAGTGGAGATTTCACAATTTACAATTTGTGGGGGGAGTTGTGCAGCTGTTTTCAGGTGTATTGTTGATTGAATTCGTTAATAATGTAGAGGAGCTATTACAGAGTTGACGTTAAACCTAAAAATGGTTATCTGTAACTCAAGGGTGGGACGCGAGATAAAGAAAAAGATTAAGTGACCAGCTCCTAAATATACTTAATATTCTTTTTGGCTTTTCTGTAAATGTGTAAAGTATTAAGCTTTAAATATATTCTAGATGCATCAATATCACGTTTAACCACACCTGACAAACAGTTGTCACGTCTAAATTTAAAACCAAATATATTGTTGCGCAAGCAGGTCACGTGACTAGTATCAC